TTTTTTTAAAAAAAGCTCATGAGCCAGAGGAAAGAAAAGGAATGAAAACCGGAGCCACATGGGAACAATGAGTCCACTGGACTAACAGACCTTGCAAATATCAGTCTCTACAACCCCGAGACCAGAAGAACACTTAGGCCTGGCTACCACCAGCAACTGCTCTGAAAAGGATCACATTAGAAGGTCCTAGACAGAGTGCTAGAAAAATGTGGGACAGAACTCAAAACCATAGAGACCAGACTTCCTGGTCACATGAAGGCTGGCGGAACTCCCAACACGATGGTCCTTAGTCTGGAATTCTGTGAGGTTCATCAACCATTTAATATCAAAAGGGCAGCATTTATCCAAGGACAGAGTTCAGGAGTTAGGAAAAAAGGAGGAATGGAAACAGGAAACAAGGAGGAAGAGGGATAAGTGACAGTACACTGAAGGGATTGCAACGGATGAGTTCACTGAGAATGAGTATGACTTGTTGAATGTAAAAACTCTGATCTGCTCTGTGAACCTAACACACCCCCCACCCCCACCCCACCCCACCCCCACCCACCCAACTTGCAAGTCAGGCAGCAGCTCCTGCCTGAGAGCCTCAGGTTGCCCAGTCCTCACCTGTATTTGAAGCGGAGCTTCTGCACGATGGCCTTCATCTTGTCTACCTGCTCCAAATTTGCCACAACCTTTTCAGTAAAGGGCACCTTGCGTTTATCGTCGGCATAGGGCAGGAAGATGAGCTGGAAGCCTGCAGTGGGGAGATGGGAGTTTTCCAAGATTTGGTTTAATAATGAAGTGTGCCACCTCTTAAGCTGTCCTTTCTGTCTCAGGCGCTAATTCACCCATCTCTGCCCTGTGGTGCTGTGGCTGGATCTCTACAAACACCACTTCTCCTGGTGGTGTCTGCCTAACAGGCCCCTCTGTAGGAAGGTGAGGCGGAGAGGGGGAATGCATTCCTTCCCGTGTGCTGACTGCTCCGCAGCACTGCTTCAGCCGGGGCCCTTCCTCGAAACCATGGCTGCAGGTTCCAGTCTCCAGCTTTTCTGACACTTCCTGAACCAGCAGGGCAGTGGCCTTGCCCCTTTCTCAGAGGGCATGCCCTGGCTCTGGGTCCTCCTCTGAGCTTCAGGGTTTGATAACTCCAGTCTCTCCTTTCTCCCCTAGGCTCCCAGATTCTCTGCCATTAGCTAAAAGGGAAGAGGAAAGAGTTACTCTGACCCAGTTACTGGTAGACCTAGAATTATGGAAACATCTGAAGAAGGGAACCCACCGTGAGTGAAGCAGAAGTGAGTCTGTCTATCTGTCTGTCTCTCCTGTGCTCCAGTCTCGCTCTAGCGCCCCTGACTGACAAAGCCTAAGGGAGCAGCTAACAAATGGCCAGCAGGGTTTGCAAAGTCCCTGCCGCCCACCCCACCCCCCCTGCAGCACAGAGCAGAGCCGGTGAATACTGAGCTGAAAGACAATAACCTCATAATTGACCCACATATCTACTCCTGAGCATTCTAATGGCCAGGGTTAGTAACCTATTCAGAGTGACTTTGTAAGGTTTCGTGAGCGCTCTGAAGGGAGGAGAAGGCAAACTACTCCCTGCTGATCCTCTTTGTGGGAGGCACTTATTCCCAGCACAAAACCACCTCGAGAGTAAGGTGGTTGGTTTCCTTTCTGCAGCAAAGGATCTAAGCCAGTGGTTCTCAACCTCCCGATTGCCACGACCCTTTACTACAGTTCCCTAAGTGGTGGTGACCCCCCCCCAACCATAAAATTAGTTTCACCGCTACTTTATAACTATAATTTTGCTACTGCTATGAATCAGGCAACCTCTGTGAAAGGGTGGTTCAACCTAACCAAAGGAGTCACGACCCACCAGTTGAGAACCGCTATCTAAGCAGAAGGGTTAAATGGCTTGCCCAAGTTGGCAAGCTAATAAGTGGTACGGAGGGGCTTGAAACAAAAGAAAGCTTTCAGACACACAGTACAGGATGACGTCTGACCTCAAAACCCATGCTCTCCCCACTGCCTTAGTGGGAGACAAACCAATCCCTAACATTACAGGAATGCCAAACAATAGAAAAGGAGGTGCCGGCAGTGAGGCCCCAAGACAGCCCCTACCAAGTCAAAGCTCAACCTTGGCTACACCGCTGCCTCGTACAGCGGTACACACCCTTGCTTGGTGTCCTCCCCCGGATGTCCACCAGATTTACCTCAGAAGCTTTACCCAGAGCCACCTGCCAGACCCCACTGAACAGGTCTGAGTGCTTCCAAAGCCCGGAGAAGGTGCAGAACCCCGCACACTCTTCCACATACCTGGGGGAGTCACCTGGATTTTCTGGTCATCCAACTCCTCCTCCTGTGGCACCAGCGTCACAAAGTGAGGGGGGCTGTTCTTCCGAGGTACGTATCTGCACAGGGCCATGACCTCCTTCTCCAGACACTTGGTGAGGAGAGCACTGAACAGGGTGGTGCTCCCTGGAAAACAAAGGCCCAAGTCGCCCACGTCTGGCAGGCGGCATGGGCCTCCTTCCTGCCCTCTTCACCTAGATGCCCACCATTGCCTTTCCGTTCTCTTAGGAGAGTTTGCAGCAGACAAGGGTGATGGCCCCGGAGTGAGGGGAGAGGCGGAGAAAGGAAAGGGAGAAGAGCTTTGGAGTCTCAGAGATTGCCTGCGTGCGAGGGGACTCGCAGTCGGTTCCATTTCTATGGACATCAGGGGAACAAATGCACCCAGGCAGCCGTGGGCCCACCTCTGCAGCTGACATTAGGAAGAAGTCTGCCATCTGATACTGCCAAGGACGAGCTCCATAGGTCATTCATGTGAAGAAATGGTGGCTACAGGACTATGAATGTACACATGTGCTTTACACAATTGATGTATGTATGGATTGTGATAAGAGTCGTATGAGCCCCTAATAAAACGATTTAAAAAAATAAACAAAAAATTAAATTAAACTTAAAAAAAAAGCAAAGTGCCAACTTCCAGCCTCTACACACAAACAAAACTAATAAAATTAAGTTAAAAAAAAAAAAAAGAAAGAAAGAAATGGTGGCTACATTCCCTCAGCCCCTCCTGGTACACGCATGATAACGGTCCTAGAGAGACAGACCTCTGTACCTTCAGTTAGGCCGGCTTATCTGAAGAGGGTTTTTCCCCCACAGTCCACTTCAATTTTACTTTTACTTTTTTAAATTAATTTATTTATTTAAATCATTTTATTGGGGGTTCACACAACTCTTGTCACAATCCATACATACATCCATTGTGTGTCAAGCACATTTGTACATTTGTTGCCCTCATCATTCTCAAAACATTTGCTTTCTACTTGAGCCCTTGATATCAGCTCCTCATTTCTCCCTTCCCTCCTCCTTTTTTTTTTTAAGGCACTCAGACTTCTGTTTAGGTTTGAGGGATACAGAATCTGGATTTGGGGGGGGGGGCTTTTAAAGAAATATATTATATATGTATGTATACAGCCCATCTCAAGAAATGAGATCAACAACGATACCCTGTTAAACCTTCCATATATGTGGTTCTCTTTCTCTCCCCCATCCTTCCCCTCTCCCGTTTCAATAACCTAGCTCTCCCTGTCTCCGCCCCTGTCTCAAGCTCCTCGTAGTCATCAGCGTCTTATCTGTTGGTATATAAACCCGCATGTTTCTCTTTGGCCGTGAACATCTCCTGCCACAGCTCTGTCACCAGGGGCTGGGGCCGCTTACCGTTCACCAGGGCCTCCTCAGGGTATACAAACAGGGAGGGACGCAAGTAGTGGTGCTTCTTCAGCATGAGCAAGGGCTTGAAACCAATCAGACTCAAGCCCGGTTCATCAAACCGTTTGAGCTGTTCTGTTTCCTCTCTCTCCAGAACAATCTGACGGCTCCCGTAGCTCTTGAAATAAAATAAGATAAAAACAATTACTGCCACTCAGGCTTGGGCTCGGGCTCACGGTAACCCTGTGACTTGATGTGTATCAGAGTAGCAATGGTGGACTCTTAGAAGTGGGTTGTGGTATTTCTCCTGAGGCACCTCTGGGGGGACTTGAACTTCCAACTTTTCTAAGAGCTTTGACTGTGCTGCCCGGAGACACCCCCTGGCTCTAAAAGGCGGAAAAACAAGGGGCCACCCAGGCTTCATGGAGAAACCAGTGCTGCCACATGACGCTGGCAGGTGAAAGCCAGAGCCCTTCTAAAGAGAAGAAGACCCCCTCTTGAGCAGGGACAAGCATTACTGAGAGCCCACCAGGCACTTGACATGTGTCCCCTAAATCAGCTTACAAATCCTCCAGGGAAGTGAGAACTTGTTCCAGTTACAAACTGAACTGGGCCTGGAACCCAGACCTGCCTGCTGCCAACGGCCAGGCTCCTACTGTCTCCTCCTCTCCTCGGTGAACAGACACTGAGCTCCCAGCCTGGAGCGCCAGCCATCTAGGACGTAAGACGCTCAAATCCAAATGCCAAACCCCTGCTGTGGAGTCGATTCTGACTCACAGTGACTCTCCGTCAGAGCAGAACTGCTCCATCGGTTTCGAAGACTGTAAATGCTTACAAAAGCAGAGGGTCACATCTTTCTCCCACTGACCAGGCTGGTGGTTTTTAACCATTGCCCTTTCTTTCAGTTCGCTGTCTAGCGTTTTAGCCACTGTGCCACCAGGGATGCACATCGGTTAGCTGGGAGGGCCTACCTCAGGCCCTGTGCTGGTCCTGTTGGAGCGAGCGGCGGACACAACCTGTGTCATGTTCCTTCCAAGTGGGAATGCTCCCATGTTGCCCTTGGTTTTGCAATTAACAATAGCAGCAGTCAAATTTGGGGTTCCATCACATAAGTGGAGACCACCAGGGTTTCTTCAGATACATACACCCCATCAGGAGTCCCAGTGACCAGAGAGCCACTGCCCACAAACGTTCGGTTACTTTCACGATGGGAGGGGAAGGGCCGTGGCTCCTCTTCCTCCTCCAAGTCGGGCAACACACATACTGTGTGCTCTACAAGCCACCCCCGAGGGCTCAGGTCCCAGAGGAAGAACTCATTCCAGTCACTTAGCTCATCCTGCTGTGCCCTGAACTGGTCCATTAAAGTGAAAATTTCACATTTGACTATGACTTCAGATGTCAAGTCCTTCCCCAGATTGAGCAAAACTGGGAGAATGAGGGTGGACAGAGAAGGTCCTGCAGTGTAACTGTTTCAGGTTACGAAAGCCACATGGGTGACATTTCAAAGCATGGGAAAACTTGGGCTTGGCAAAAAAAAAAAAAAAAAATTCTCTACGTAAAAAGCCAGATCTACTTCAGGCCTAACACACCTTCCCTTGTTTTTATATGGCCCGAGTTACCTGTAGAGCATTTTCTGTGACTGCCCCTGTAAAGCTAGCTAACTGTAAAGCATTTTCTGGGACTGCACCTGAGCAAGGAGTTAGACTCTTTGTAACTTAAGAGTAGCAGGTTCTGAAGGTGAACGGCTAATGCGTTACTGATAACGCTTTGACCTTTCTAGCTTTCAAGCGATCACTAAAGCCTATGTATCTTGGTCCAAAAAAAAAAAAAAAATCATTTATAATTAAATGTTAGCTTAAGGATAAAATATTTCCTTTTACCTTATTTGCCTGAGAATATGATTCTTTTGGGCTGAATGAGTTTACTTGCAGTTTATTTTCTGCGAGGACAAGAATGAAATCAAAATGAGGTACTTTCTTGGCATGGGCTTATTAATA